CATTGGTTGGACATGGTAGTGCATGCCTGTAACACTAGCATTTAGGAGGCTGAGGCAGGAGGATCGTCACAAGTTTCAGGCCAGCCTGGGTTACATAGTGAGTTCAAAGCTAGCCTGAACTAAACTGCAAAACTCTGTCTCAAAAAAAAAAAAAAAAAAAAAAGTACATTCATTTATATGAACTCCAATAACAAGCAAAATTAATCTATAATGATAAAAATCAGAAAATGATCAAGGGGGTGGGAAAACTGACTGGCAAGGAAGACATTTTCTGCAGTGATTAAAGAAGGTCCTGAACCTTGTTTTGAAATGTGTTAGTCAGCTTTCTATCACTGTGACAAAGCAGCTCAGGTAAACAGTTGACAAAGAAGACTTATTTTGGATCACAGCATCAGAGATTTCAAGCCACAGTCAGCTCTTCCATGTGGGGGCCTGAGGTGAAGCAAACACTGCAGCAAAGAGAGCATGGTGGACCAAAGCCGCTCCCCTCCTGGCAGCCAGAAACCAGAGAGAGAGAGAGAGAAAGAGAGAGAGAGAGAAAGAGAGATATGAAGAGCCAGGGTCCCAATATCTCCTTCAAGCACTTGCCTCCAATGACCTAACTTCCTCTCACTAGGCTATTTTTCTTTTTCTTTTTTTCTTTTTTGCTTTTTGAAACCGGATCTTACTGTACAGTTCAAATCACCATGTAGCTCAAGCTGGCCTCAAATTCATGGTGATTCTCCTGCCTCAGCCTCCAGAGTGTTAGGATTACAGGCCATTGCCACCTCTCTACTCAGCTTCTTAAAGGTCCCACTGCCTCCCACCAGGGAGTGGCTGGGGCTGGTGACCAAGCATTTGGCACAAGCCTTTGGGGAACACTTAAGATCTAAACCACAACGGTGGCTGGGCGTAGTGGCTCACACCTGTAATCCCAGCACTCGGGAGGCTGAGGCTGAGGCAGGAGGATCGTTGTGAATTCGAGGCCAGCCTGGGCCACAAAGTGAGCTCAAGGCCAGCCTGAACTGCATAGTGAGACCCTGTCTCAAAAAAATAAATAAATAAATAAATAAACCACAGCAGTGACCACCTACATATACACATTTTCCAAAATTCATGAACCAAATATTTAAGATCTGTGCATTTTATTGTATGTTTATCTGGCAATGAAACAGTTTAATGCAGTTGTTTTTGTAAATGCAGAGAATGAGCAGGGGACTGCACATAAGAAACAAAGGATAGGAATTAACAGATGGACAGAGACATCTATGCCATTGACTCTTTCGAGGAGAAGCAATCTTACTTAACATTTTTACATTTGGTTTGGAAGATCTTCAAGTGTGCAGATACTACTAATGTCCTTCTGGTAGGGTCAAGGCCAAATGACAACACCATCATAAATCACATTTTCACATTGTAAATTTATCCATTAGTGGTTTGTGAAATCAACTTAGTAATTCAACACCAGAATATTTTTCTTTTAACAAAAGAAACTAGTGTAGACAAGAAAATATGAGAATATATAAACTAAGGGGGAAGTACTGTGAGATTTTTGTTTGGAATGCATTGGACTGACTTCTTCCTAAACAGTTTAATTTCTTTTTTAAGTGGGCAATGGTTATTCAGGATCGCAGGTGAGAAGGTGGTGATGGTTTATTGCTAACCCAACCAAGCTTTCGCTGCCTCGTGCTTAAATGTAATTAAGATATGTACATGCATGCACACACATGCATACACATGCCTCATAAATCGTGATAAAATTTACTTCTTACTGTGAGCTATGATTAAAAAAAAAAAGTTCGCAGCTCCACAACAGGCACAAAGTGACCTCCAGCAAGGAAGGTGTGCATGTCGCAAGGGGGACACCCCGCACGGAAAGAGTGGCGCTTACTAGAGATATTAATAGTATAGGCTCTTGCAGGATATAACCTCAGGCCACCAAGATGCTGAGCCCCTTTGGAAAAGGAAAAAAATTGTTTTCTCCATACTTAGAAGAAACACTATAAAGGGAAGGGCTATAAGATGACAGGACTACCCAGTGCAGCTGCTCCATACTACACTGTACAAAGCTAAGGGTCCCACACAGACTGCAATGTGAAGGGCTCCCCCTGGAGTTGAGCACTACACAACCAACAGAGTTCTTCCAGGCAGCTGTAAGGACTGCATAATGATTAAGAGCAGAAGACTTCAAGTTCCATACACCCGGATCTTTTCCCAGATTGAATCCCAGGCTATATAAACTCAGGCAGGCTACTTATCCTCCTTAAGCATCAATTTTTCAGTGGGGATACATTATGTATCCCTAAGAACTAGCTCAGCGCATGCACATTGTGATTCTCAGTAATATAGGTGTGTCGTGAACTGAGCTAATACTAGTACCAACCTTATAAGGCAGTAGGGAGGAGTAAATAAATTAACATAGGTGAAAATTTTAGCATATGGTCTAAACACTAGTGCACAGTAAATACTAAACACGTATCTACAAAAGATGATGGACTAAAAATAGCAAGATTGTTCAGGATGGAAAGAGCTTATTTCCTAATGGAATTGTGGTTTTGATGCAGTCGTGACAGCACTTCCACTAGGAAACTGGCACAATGGAGCAGGTCACCTAGATTGAGACTACACGGGGTGGAGGGGAGTCGTCCCTTCCTTCACCTCTGGTCCTGCTGCCCGTGCCCTAGGACCTTGATGGGTTCATTTTCTCCTGAGAGATGGCCGATAATAAAGCAACAAAAGTACCTTCTGGGAGGGAGGGATCTCTAAGCCAGAAGTGAGGTCACCCCAGTTAGCAGTTAGAAAAGGAGGCATTTCTCACACTTGCTAATAGGTTTGACGCTTGTGAAACATAAACAGGAAGTGGGAGTTTTCCAAAGCGACCTGAAGGAAATACACTCCCAGTTTGGTCAACGTGTGAATCCCAGTCCTCCAGGTCAAGGACACTGCCAGTTAAAACTGACTCCCCAGCTGCACCCGATGTGAATTTTCACCGGGTCCTGCGGTGGCTGTGACTCCATTTTTTTTTTTTTTTCAATCCTTCCCACAGCCAGGTCACTCAGCAGCAGGGTGACTGACCCGGCCCGGTGGTAAAGGTTTACAGTCATCTCTCAACTACCCGAACTTGCAGGGCAGGGGAGCTCAGAGGTCAGTGAAATCCCCAGCCAGGCCTTATTTTAGTCATGAATTTCCACTGGCTCGCTCCTCTGACTGTACCGGCGCTGTTCCCAGCACAGGATTGGGGTTTCAGCTGGAGTTAGAAGGTCACCAAGCCCTGATTTTTCCGGGGAGCGGGGGGGGGAGGGGGGGTGTCTCTGGTGGCCTAAGGGAGACTGCAGCAGAAATCTGGGGCCACTGGAGGAGATTCTGCCCCAGGCCCGGAGCAGCGGGTTAACTGCTTCCTCCAGGCCCTCCACCTAAGCTTGCTGGTTAGTATTACACTCAGAACAACAATAACAAAAGCTCGTCTTTTTTTCCTCTGCCAGCCCGCGGCCCCGGAATATTTTTCCAGGGCTGCTTTCCTCGTTGCCCAATCTGTCTGCCCAGAGGTTCCTCGAAGTTCACGGGCAGGGTCGGTGCTCGATCCACCACTGTGTCTTCTGGGGAAGGACCCCTTCCTTGCCTATCGGGGTGAGCGGCTCAATGTGTGCGGTCGGAATGAATGTGAACATTTCACTGTTAGGCGAGGTTTTTTCCTCTTTCTGGCCCTTCTGTCCGCGCCTGCTGAGTGCATACCGCAGGCAGCGCCGCGGGGAGGACCGGTGCCAGGAGACCCGGCCGCGCCACACCTGGGGTCCCCGCCCCGGCCCGCGCGCAGGGCTCTCGGCCG